GAAAGTAGAGGCTCCTTGAGTCCGAAGCTCCTTCATTTAAAGGTAGAGGCTCCTTGAGTCTGAAGCTCCTTCGTTCAAAGGCAGAGGCTCCTAAGTCCGAAACTCCTTCATGCAAATGCAGAGGCTCGTTAAGACCGAAGTACTGAAGCTTAACGCAGACGTTTCTTCATAGCAGATTGTAAGATCTCCAAGAACTGATTGACGTGATGTCTGCCATAAAATGTCTTTAGTGTTAATGTGTGCCAGTGAGTTAGACTACAAAGTAGAACAACGGATCATCTGCAAAACATTAATTGTAAATGTTGAACATTGATGTAAGGCTTCAGTCTAGGAGATGTCACCACGTGGACTTGATCTAACGGTCACCACGTCAGCTAGATTTGTATAAATAAACCCCTCATTGTATAGAAGAGGGGGACGGAGAATCACAAAATAACATATTTACGCACATTGCTTTGCTTGATCTTGAATAATACAACTTATATTGAGATCATAACACATTACAAGACATTCTCTTTTATTTATCATTTCACATATTCCATTACAAAACAGATATTCATTTTAGGGAAATCGATCGAGCTCTTATTGATAGCGCAATGGCCGTTTAAATCAAACCACCGAAACTTGAACAGTTGTGTCTCTTGTCGGATAGCACCTCCCGCGTTCCATCCAACTATACTACTGCTCATGTTCCGGTAGAAACGCGCCGGATCATTGCTTGACATGGCAAGGGTGGGCCCGGTATTTGTTGAGTTCATTTTTTGGGGTTAACAAATGCATTTTCCCCTTTCTGTTTTGAAAAATAGTTTTTCAGAATGACAAAAAGAACGTATTTTCGACAATTTCGAAACAAATACGCAAAACACAAAATTCAAAATGAATTCAACTTGAGCAGTGTACACACCGTAACAATTCACTAAATTTGAATGGGAAATGACATGTGTACATCATAATTCACATTGTCTTTGTTTTAAAAAATTGTTGGTGGAAAATTTCTTTTTTCTTTTTTTTTTTAAATGTCAAATGATAGTTTGTCATGTGGTAAACTATCAAACTTGATGTACAACACTTTGATGTATACCAAATGTGATTGATTTCCAAAAGAAATACTAATATGGATTTCATTTCAATTGCATTCGAATAAGTAAAATTCAATTTTTTCAGCCCAACTCTTTATCATTAAGCTCCAATTGATTTAGATAAAATAAAATTTTATTAAATTTTGATAAAAGTCGATGAAATATGTGATTGAAAAATTGATAAAATTTGTGGGCCCCATGAATTGCATGATTGTAAAATAAGTACAAGGAAAAAATGAGTTGCAAATGTTGACCAAACAAGAGCTAGTTAATTAATTGTTGATGAAAGTTGATAAAATGTGCGGTTAAAATTAATTATTGATTTTGATTTAGATTTTAATCAAGATTTTTAAGGGTACCAAACATGACTATAACTTCATTCTCAAGTTAGGTTATCGCCTTACAATTTCTTCAAAGTCTTATAATCAATAATTAATTTACTTGTACAATGATGGTTAACAAGATTTATTGACAATGTTGACGTGGTAAAATTTGGACAGTTGATTTAAAAAATAACTTTTGAGATTTTTTGAAATGAATGAATATGATGATGTCAAATCATGATTATCAAAAATCATTGTACCTGTAGCATGATTGTATAATCAAAGACTCAGTAGGTTGCAGGATCATGATGATTGCCCAATCAAACAATAGGACCTGAGTCTTGTTCCATAGTAGTGATAGGTTTTCCTAGTTCTTGAGGAGGTCGAAATCTACTATTTTTTTGATGAATTTAGCATGACTGAACTTGATTAATGTAAGTGAGCACGCGAGAAGTTTTGATTGTGATGTTCAGTCTTGAGTTAATGCGTGATGGATGGATCATTGGCTGGACTGACAAGGATCGTATGAGCATTTAATAACGTTAAACGGCTAACACATGAATGAATAAGTGATCTAGGTTTGGCTGAGGAATGAGTGATTTTGGTTAGGTTTAAGTACAATTGTTGCAATCAATCTCATGGATACAGTTTCAGCTAAGATATATCCACAAAAGACGCTTTCTCTTATTTATCCTATAGATAATTGAAATCTTTAAGGTGGCGTGGACAAATTTTTCAACGAGGAATGATATACGAATTTTTTTTTAAAAGAATAAACGGGTAAATTTCACCTGTGCCATTGCACTTTACTCTTACTTTCAATTAGGCCACTAAACTTTAATTCAGAGCAATCACACCATCATATTATAATTTATGAGCAATTAGCCATTATGTTAGCCTTCCGTTTAACAGTGGACGTTAAAGGGAGTCTCCGACTCTCCACACTTTTTGTCAAGTCCGTAGGGTAAAATTTACCAGAGTTCACAAAAATTTAGTCTTATTGCAATTAGATCGCTGAACTTTTAATTCGCGACAATCGCATCATTAACTTTAACTCCAAGATTCTAAAATAACATTTGTTTATTTTAATAATATATTAATTATTTTAAGATTATTAAATTAATAAATAATGCATACCTAACAACTAAAACCATATTAATATAATTAATTAATAATTTCTAAAGCTAAACAATTTTCTAAGTTTTGAAAAACTAGACAATATTTAAGTTTTCAATTAATATTTTTTTATCTTAAAATCATACATCTATCGTGCACATACACCCATCGTGAATTCCTTTGCCTCCTCCCTTTATAATAAAAAACCTAGGTGGCTAGTGATAGAAGGAACATACAGCCTTCCCACATTCATGAATATCATAAGTGACATCTGTATCACTGACTTCCACTATTTCACAACCTCCTCGGACATAGAGAAGGAACTCATAACATGAATGATGTCCATATCTATGAGATAGGGGTGTATGTTTTTGTTGATATATAACTAGAGTTTGTTTGAGCCTCATTTTTTTTTCTTTTTGTGTTAAAAATGTATTATATAATAGTGATTTGAAGGAAAATGTGTGGTTAAAAATAAAGAAAAGTTTTGAATTTATATATAATATTATTTTATTGAAAAATGTGGTTGAAAAAAAAGAGCAAAAATATATTTTGAAATTAATATGGACTTCGCAAGGGATAAATTTTGAAAATAACATATTTTCATCAAATATTTTTTTGATATCCATATATTTATTATTTTAATTATTATAGATGTCCAACTCATGTTAGATTAAGTAGGAAGTGTCGAGTTGGAAACTTTAAAATAGTCGAATTTTTTAAAACTTTTCTTAGTTATAGTAATTAAGTAATTACAGCATTTAGATGGTATTTGGTGGAGATTAAAATTTAATTTTTAGTATATTGTGAAGTTTTTGAAATGTGTAATTGAAAAGCTGTGGGATCCATGAAAGATGTGATTAATATTGATTGTTTGATTTTAACTTGAATTAAAATTAGATTTTAATCGGACCAAACATGTGCTTAGTATATTAGTTGTTGGATATATATATATATACAGAATATATACAGAAATGATCTAATGAGCACCGGTGCTCATCTTATCCTAAACACCAATGAGTTGGCACATTAATTCATTGGTGGATTGGAACTCACAAAATCTTTATCCACCAATGAATTAATGTGCCAACTCATCGGTGCTTAGGATAAGATGAGCACCGGTGCTCATTAGATCATTTCTGTATATATATATATATAAAGTATACGATTAATCCGTTAATCTTCTGCTCAATCACGCAGTCTGCCCAGTCAACAAAGTAAAATTTCATCATTGGTCATTGAACTTTAATCTTACTTGTAATTATATAAAGTTCAGTGACCGCCTGTGAAATTTACCCGTGAATCAACATTTATAAGAAAATTATAATTTAAATCGCATGTTCTGGGAATGTCTTGCGCCCCAGCTTTCTCCATCCATCGATGGCGACGCACGCTATGCAGAGTGAATGAGGTACACATAAATTTTGAGGTAATTTTCGATTTTATTCTCATCGATTGATTGTTGATGTACTGACAAGGTTCGTTGGTCTTTTGCTCATAAATATGTGGCATCTTTTTTCTTCAATTTTAGATTCCCTTGTTTTTATGAAATAATAAAAATAAAAAAATTAGCGTAAATATCTCCCTTCCCTTATGTTCTATCACGTAATACTATGATTACATGGATCATGCTGGGGTTTGTTGTTTATCCTTTATGGAACATTCATTTTTCCCATTTTGAAGGCAGATAATCCCACATTTGATTAAACATTTATATTTTAGGTTATTGATTAATGCAATACCAGCATTTTATACTTGTAGTAAATCTAGAAAGTGGTAAAATGATTTAGTTTTCAATTTTCTATTTTTAAAAAGATTGTCCAAAGAAAGTCAGTGTTGTTAGGGATATGAAAACATAGATGAATTTATAAAGGATTGAGTTACTCCTCTTAATAAAGTCGACCTTTTGAAATGGAATTCCAAATTTTAACGGGGTATTACAACCCATTAATCTCCCACGAGCAATTCGATCCAAGACTCAAAAAATTGAGCACACGAATTTCAAGATTGGTCTGCTTAAACGAGCAAGAGCATGTTAAGGGATAAAAATTCCACATCGAATAAATATGAAAATATAGATCAATTTATAAAGGATTGTATTACTTCTCTTAATGAGATTGACTTTTTAAGATAAAATCCCAAATCTTAACAAGTGTGTGCAAATTTGAAGGGCCAATGACACAATATATAATAGATATGTGAGTTGCGTAACACAAAAAGCAGAATTGTTGGTCATGAACGTTGAAAAGTCATATCACTTTGAAAACATAGCACTACTAACAACGATTGAGATTATTTGTGACCTTTTATGTGGCTTAAATTTCTCCAATTTTTTTCATTTAATCTGAATTAACCTAATCAATGTTGATTGATTTGTGTTTTTCTGAACCTTTTATATTTATATATCCATGGCTTGTATGGAATCTAAACTACACTTGCCCTCTTTATTACTGAATTTCTGTGGGTTTTTTATTTTGGCCTAATGGATGAGAATTCAGGCTATGAACCACTTATTTTGAAAGAGGAGGGTGCCAACAATAAAACTTTGTGGGTTTCATTAGCAAAATGGATTCTCAGAGTGGTACTGTGGGCAATTTTCATTGCCTGGGCTGCTTTTATCTTCCTGTATCCATCTGATTACGGTACTGATTTGTACAGGAAGTGGAGTCGAGCTACCAGTGGAACTCTATTCGGCGAAACAGGTTAGCTGGAAACTCCAAGTTCATCCTTGAACATTTTGCTAATTGATTGCAGGATACGTGTCTTTAAGTACCCTATTGTTGCAGGAAGCATTTTTCTGCTTTTCAGTGGCCCTATCCTCCTCATTGCATTTTTGGCCACTGTTTATCTCATCATCTCAGGGAAAGAGGAGATTCACGAGTATGTAATTTGTTATAACATACTTGGCCGTTCTCACTATTACCATCATTTTCTCAGCATATACATGCTTATTAGTTCTTTACATAACTCATAGTCTGAAATTTTGTGACAGGACAAAAACTTCAAGATATCCACGTTTCCGCTTGTGGACATTCCCTGTTCTCGTTGATGGACCATTTGGTGTTGTTTCAGCCGCAGAGTTAATTGGAATCATACTCTTAACTGCATACGTCATCTGGGCAGTTTCTGTTTTATCCATCAAGAACCGGAATATTGTATATTCCTTGTTTCATCATCTGCCTTCTAAAGAACAAAGGTACTAGTCTGCAATATCTATAGTTTCTTTCTTTCTTGTCAATATATGTTTATTACGTCTATAGTCACGATCAACATGTTTCCTTTTTTTAAAACACTGGATCTTTGAGAATAAGAGATTGACGTTTATTGCCAAAATTCTGTCGGTTTTAGCTGCTATGAGTGAACTCAATTTAGCTTCGTTAATCTAGAACCACCTCAACCTGCTATATTAAGCTCAAAGACTTTCAAAAGGAAATGGACCTGTAATATTTTTCATCTTTCTAATAAGTCTTTATCATACTTATCTTTGATCTGCTATTATATCAATACACAACGAGAGATGGATTTTGGGGAAAAGGACTAAAATGCCATTCAGTAATTTGTCAATCAAAGAGGGTCGTACCATTGCTTTGGTTCCACGAGATGCTCTAGAGAAAATTTCTTAGTGGATTCCCTACCTGTTGTCCCATTCCCGTTCTCAGCTTGAGTCTTCTCCTGACTGTGCTTCATCTTTTTTTTCTAAACTGGTGCTTTTCCATTAACACATATTTTCCTATTAGCAGTCAGAAAGTGTTCTAACTTCTAAGCCTTTTATTTCTGAAGTGAAGGAATTAAAAGATGAGAATGTGTGATTTTCGAAATTCATGAACAGGGAGAGATTGTTGAAATTACTTTGATCTAAGCAGATATTTATATGATGTGATATCTAACCTGATATCTTGTTTCGTTAGCAATTTTTGCTTCTTGGAGAAACTATTTGGGAGTTGGAGCAAGTTTTTTCCACTTGCAACAGTCTCGTTCTGTTTTATAGTAACTAGTCCCAGTGATCAGCTGACTTTCTATGGTGAAAGATGCGATAATTTTTGACACATCAAAGTGTGGACAACTGTATCTGTCAAAATACATTATTTTTAATGAATTCTCATTAAATTCCACCTGTATACAGCACTATTAGAGAGAAGTACGTTGTTTTTCTGAATTCTTATGCAATGCTAATGATCACTCCACCCAGCTTCTGTGCTCCACTTGCTCCACCTTCAGACTACCTAACAGAATGAAATGTTTTCTAAAACCTTTAGTAACCAATGTTGAAAGATTAAATGAAACAGACAACGAAAAATTAAATATCCTAGACAGGATTTTATAACCATGAAATTATAAGCTCGGATGTTTACTTTTTCATTGTCTCTTTCATTTTTTTAGCTACTGCGTATAGAAGTAAATTATTTTTGAAATATCTAAAATATGTCCTTTTGACCACCATTAAAACTTGAATTATTTCAGTGTTTTGATGCTGGAGCTCACAGGACTCAGGTTGGGATTGATTGGATTATTTTGCTTGACCTTTTTGTTTCTGCCTGTTGCAAGAGGATCAGTTCTTCTCCGGCTCATAGATATCCCTTTTGAGCACGCAACCAGATATCATGTCTGGTTAGGACATCTAACAATGTTGCTGTTTACTCTTCATGGTCTGTTCTATGTGATTGGATGGACAATAGAGGGACGTCTCAAGCAAGAGGTGAAATCTCATCCTACATATTCTAAATGGGAATTTATAAATAGATTGTAAAATTTTACCTGGAGATGTATATTATAATACAAGTATGCTCATGAATTTTTGTGGTATGTATTTAATGTTGCCTGAATGACATTGACATATACTGCCTTGCTCAGGATGAGATTGTCATTTTAAATGAATTTTTGTTGTAATGTGCTCATACAACAATAAAACACTGGTTGCATGTATCCGATTAAACTCATGAAATTGTACTTGTATATAAACAAGTAATCATTGGTCATCTATAGAAGGCTGAAGTCTACTTAGAATAAATAGGAGCATACAATTGGCTAGTTCTGTCCTGTAGAAAGTCTTCCCCTATGCTGATGTCTTTGCATATCTTGCTTCATCAATCATTCCTTGATTTTCTAAATTAGTGAAGGACATTAGATATGAAATTGTTCTAACAATTCCTTTTATTAATTTTCATAATTTTCATGCAGCTAAGGGACTGGAAAAATGTTGGAATTGCCAATTTTCCTGGAGTCATTAGCCTTTTAGCTGGTCTACTGATGTGGATAACATCACTTCCTGGATTAAGGAGGATCAACTTTGAGTTGTTCTTCTACACCCACCAATTATATGTAGTTTTTGTCGTCTTCTTGGCCTTGCACGTTGGTGATTTCATTTTCTGTTTTGCTGCTGGGGGAATATTTCTCTTCATGCTTGATCGTTTTCTTCGATTCTGTCAGTCAAGAAAGACAGTTAATGTACTTTCGGCAAGATGCTTTCCATGTGGAACTGTGGAGTTGAGTCTTTCAAAACCAGAGAGTAAGAGTCCTTAAGAAATTTGCTGATTTTAAAACTTAAAGTGCCATTACAACATAAATCATCGATCTCTTTTCGCAATGTAGATTTGAACTACAATGCTCTTGGTTGGATTTTTCTTCAAGTTCGTGAATTATCTTGGCTTCAGTGGCATCCCTTTAGTGTCTCCTCTAGTCCTCTTGATGGTAAACATCATCTTGCTATCCTCATAAAGGTTCTTGGAGGCTGGACAGCAAAACTGGAGAAACTCATCTCGAGTATTTCGGAGGAACAGCTTGAAACAAAGCCATTCCTGCAGCCCCACTCCAAAATAACAGCTTCCATAGAGGGGCCTTATGGTCACGAATCGGCATACCACTTGACGTATGTACTTTAATTTTGTTTATTAAGCACGTACAAACCATGACTTACTCTCATGTTTACTGTCGAAGTTTAAACAAGAAAAGATAAAACCTTCAGCAATTTATTGTTCATTATTAGTTACCGATAAAAATGTTGAAGATTTCATATGTTAAAGTTCTCCTAAAAGTTTTAGCAATTTTTTATGCATTATTAGTTACTCGACATATATATTCCGAGTTTCCACTGTGTATTGTAGATTTACTAATTAATTGATCCTCCATACTTTTCTCTTAGGTACGAACACCTGATTTTAGTTGCAGGCGGCATAGGAATTTCACCTTTCCTTGCTATCCTGAGTGATGTTCTTCACCGTATTAATGATAGCAAGCCTTGTCTGCCAAGAAATGTGTTGATAGTATGGGCCATTAAAACATCGAAAGAGCTTCCACTTCTTCAGACAGTCGATATGAAGTCTATCTGTCCATTTTTTCCTGATGCGTTGAACCTTGAGATTCAAACCTACGTTACTCGACAAACAGAACCCTCATTGGTAATTGCACACATCTTTTTGCTAACATTACTGTATCTCCATGTCAATGGATTGATTCGATGCATTAATTGCAGGAAGAGGGTCATGTTATGGAACCTGTTAATTCTTCCAACTTCCCTGTCTCCAAGAAATGTGGAATGTCTGTGTTGGTTGGTACTGGACACATTTTATGGTCGGGGTTATACGTTATAGTGTCTACACTAGGTTTGGTGATTACTGTCTATTTGTTAGATATCTTGTACATAAATCCTTACAACATATACTACTGGTGGTATAAGGGCCTTTTATTCATAGCATGCATGACCATTAGCGTTGTCCTTTTTGGGGGTCTTGTAATTGGTTTATGGCATATGTGGGAAAGAAAAACTTCATACAAAGAGGAATGTGAGAACTCCACAAATACTAGCAGCATTGTGCATCCCCAAGAGGCACAGATACATAAGAAAACTGGGCAGGAACAGTATCTCAACATTATTCGGTATGGACAAAGACCCGACTTCAGTGGTATGTTCCTAGATCTGTCTCTGTTTTACTCGGCTTTTCTTTAATTATCCTCTTTTTGTGATAGTAAACGGCCTCTTCCCATCCAATCCCGTTCAACAAATTCATGTTATTGAGAGAGTTCTTGAGACTTGAGAATGCAATTTTTATTGACTCTACTCCTCTCTATGCTGCAGAAATTTTCGGGACGATGGCAGAGCGTTGGGAAAATTTCGACATTGGTGTAATTGTTTGTGGCCCTCCAACACTTCAGACTAGTGTTGCTAAAGAGTGCAGGAAACAGAATCTCAATAGAATTAACAATAAATCTGTATTCCATTTCAACAGNATAATAATAATAATAATAATCTAATGTTTATAGTTTCTGTTATCAATCATGTTTTTTCTGTATTGATGTTAGTTAAATAACTACTTTTTGAAGCATAAAATTTTGAGGGCTAATGTGACAGCCATGCGAACCAAAATCTCTCACAAATCTTGACTAAGAAATTTAAAAATAAGACTATCCATACAAATATACTTAGGGTCTGATTGATTGGAAATGTGGAAAATGGGTGAAAAGAAAATGTTTTACAGGAAATTGAATTGATTAGAAATTGTTTTACTGAGAATTGTAATTAATTGTGTTTGATTGATATAATTTTCCACTTGGATAGTGTTGAAAGTTTGGTGTTTTGGCTTCGTTTTTTTATGGAAATTGTCTATTAAAGTGATAATTTTTTCTACTATTGGGTCTAGAATTTATAATAATAATAAAAATTTGAAAAAAAATGTTTTTACCCTACCAAATAATATTCGTTTGACTTTGTTTTATATGGAAATTATCAATAAAAGTGAAGTTTAATTTTTTTTAACAATAGTTGAGAATTTGTTGCCATTGTAAAAAAAAAAAGGCTGGAAAATGAAAAACCATCAAAACCAAAAGAAAATTTATTCCATGAAATCAGGGAAAACTGGCGCATGAAGGTTTGTGGTGGAAAACAATTCCTAAGAAAAGTTACGGCATCAAACACCACAATTTGGGGAAAATGGAAAGCATTTTCCTTCTTCCATGGAATTCTTTTGCTATCAAACACTGCCTTAGATATTTGTAAAAAATTTCAATTTACCAAATATTATGAATATGCGTGAGAGAAAAAGGGGAAGAGGGGAGCCAGGGAAGAGGCAGTGCATGGAAAGGGCATCAACACCCAAAATGTATGTAGAATGGTCCATTTCATGCTCCGCCTCGTCCCTGTCTCCCTACTCTCCTATTCGTTACCTTGACAACGTGAGACCATGATCTTGACTCTCCTATTTGTTTCTTATCGATGAGTTATCATGATCTTCATCTGAAGTACTCATGAAACGACAGAAGTTTAAAAGTTTAGCATGAAAAAGTTGTTTAACAATTTCCTACCAAAATGGTTGCTAACAAAAACTCATTGAAACCCCTTTTTAATGACTATAAGGTAGGTGAACGACTACTCTATGAACGGTAAAAGAACATATGGCAGTACACATAAAATTGCCAGTAGTACAAATATATTTGGTATGTACTTTTGCATCATACACGTACTTCCAACACGAGCCACATTGTACAATCGAACAAGAAAACCATTATTTTTTAAATAACAATTTCATTAGGGAATAAATGGCTATTATTTTAATTATTAAGTTACCCTACTAATTGTATATATTTGAATGTAATCTTTCTACATCTCATGGTGTACTATCCTCCAAGTGTAGTACCAAAAAAAATCTTCTGTTTTGGCCGCACCCCACCAGCAATGGATGGGGTTACTTTGACGAGAATTGAGAATACTTAAAATCTAGCCCAAGAGGTAATGAAATTATTGATTTGGATCTTAATCGAAGAAAATAATACGAAGTCATTGTAAGTTTATTCAAACATGAAGTTGTAAATTTACATATCAACAAAAAGAAAAACAAACTCGTTGTCTCGACAAACTAGAAGTAACCTAGACTATACAAAAATATGACAAATACTTAAACTAGCATGGCTTCCAAAAGACATCAAGTTCTGTGCAGCAAAACCATAGCAACATAACGATCTTCATATTGCATTTTGAACCTTCTGATGGGGTAGACATTTCTCGTGAGGTAGTAGAATCTGATCACGAACATTCTGATTCTTGGCGGGTGCACATAGCTGGTGAGGTAGTAGAAACTGGCCACTAACAATCTGATTCTGATTCTTGCTGGGTGCACATTTCTGATGAGTTGGTAGAATCTGACCACCAACATTCTCATCCTTGCGTGGAGCACATAGCATACGAGATAAAATATTAAATGAATCAGTAGGTTTTTCCTGCTCCGGTCGAGTGGTAAATAGGTGCAATTCAGAAGCCCATATACTAGTCGAAAAGGGATTACTCCAGGAGAGCAGCACTCGTTCGTTAAAATTTGGAGGCAATGCTGTTGAGTTCAAAGGCCAAAAGAAAATGATTTTATTAACAAAAATATTTTCTTTACAAACCCACACCTTGCACTTTCTCTCTTGCACACTCACTCTCTTTGCACTCTTTCACATACACACTCAAATACACTACTAATATAATGAGCGCGCATGCACACACACACACACACATATATAGACATTGGATTCTTCTACACAAATGTTGACGATTCTAGATAATTCCATAAATTAATTATAAGAAATTCTCACGGACTCTAGAATAATGGTGATGTATGGATTTTTCTTGGCTTCTCAGTTAGTTGCATAAGGAAAGATCTAAAAAATTGGTGATGATTCTTCAATTCTCTTTCAGCACCAACTTTTCATTTTGACTCTTTTCTTCTTATAATCCCAAGTTGTGCTCGAAACTCTTCGAATTTTGAAGCGCTGAGTCCTTTCGTTAATGTCTGTGACTTGTTCTTCAGTATTAATGTGTTTCAAGTTGATCTCCCCTTTAAGTACCTTCTCTCTGACGAAGTGATAATGCACTTCAACATGCTTCGTTCTTGCGTGGCAAACTGGATTTTCTGTTATACGAATAACTGATTGATTATCACAATATAATTATGTATAGCTTACTGGTTGATGTAAATCCTTCATTAATTGTGTTAGCCACGTACTCTCTTGAGCTGCCATTACTGCTGCTCTATATTCTGCATCTACGATTGACAAAGATACAGTTGGTTGTCTCCTACTGCACCATGAAATTGTAGCTGACCCCAGGCTGAATATGTACCCAGTTGTTGATCTTCGTGTATCACGACATCCAGCATAGTCCGCATCACAAAAGCCAATGATCCTGCAATCTTTATTTTTCTTGTAAAAGAGTCCATAATCAATAGTTCCTTTTACATACCTTAAGATCCTTCGGACCACTTTAAGGTGTGGTTTCTTTGACTTTTCCATAAAGTGGCTTGCTATCCCAACTGCATACGAGATGTCAGGTCGTGTCAGCATCAAATATATTAAGCTCCCCACCAGCTGTCGATGCATGATTGCATTATCCAAATCTTTGCCTTCATCTGCACATAGCTTGGAGTTAATCTCAATTGGTATCGATATTGGTTGCAATCGATCACGCTAAACTTCTGTAAGAGATCTCTGGCATATTTATTCTGGCACAAAAATAACCCTTCATTTGTTATTTCCATCTCCAGCCCCAGAAAATGATTTAGCTCTCCAAGCTCTTTCATTTGAAATCTTACTGATGGATTTCTTCTGATTTGTTGGACCTCATATGCGTCGTCACCAGTGATGATGAGATCATCCACGTACACTAGCACTATTGTTAGTTTTTGACTTTGTGCTTTGATGAATAAGCTCGAGTCTATTGGTGCTACTGAGTATCCACTATAAACTAAGAATTTGGCTATTTTACTATACCATGCTCGTGGTGCCTGCTTTAATCCATATAGGGCCTTCTTTAGCTTGCAAACATATCCTGGATTTTCTCTATTCTAGAATCCCGTTAGTTGCTCCATGTATATGTCTCGAGCAAGTTCCCCATAGAGAAACGTATTTTTCACATCCATCGACATAGCTTCCAAGACTTACTTCCTGCTAATGCTATTAGTACTCGTAACGTAGTGATCTTTGCCACTGGGCTAAATGTCTCATCATATTCCAGACCATGTTGCTGTGAAAATTCACGAGCTACTAGCCAAGCTTTGTATCTTTCGATTGATCTGTCTGGACATCTTTTTATTTTGTATACCCATTTACAAGATATAGGCTTTACCCCAATAGGTATTGGCACCAAATCCCAAGTCTCATTTTGCTTTAGAGCCATGAATTCTTCTTTCATTGCATTTCTCCACTCATTGTGCTGGATTCTTCTACAAAGGTCTCTGGCTCTTTGATACTGTCATCTTCTTCTACTGCTGCATTAGCATATTTGGGGTTTGGTTTCCTCTGTCTGGTTGATTTTCTTAGCTGTGGTTGTGGGCTTGTTCTTACCTCAACCGCCTCTTATTGACTTGGCCTTACTTCTTCTGGTGTTATCTGTCGTGGGCTCCTTCTCATCACTTGAATCTTGTCCATCTTTTGTTTTCTCTATCCAATCATCTTCTTCTGATTCATCAATCCAATCATTTTCATAATCTATTTGTTTAGGCAGGACCACTACCAAGGCTGATTCATCATTTATACTTGAATTGATTTTCTTTTCTCTAGCATGCTCAATTACTGTTGTGGATGCCACAACATCCCTTTTTTCTTCACTATCATATTTTTTTTGCTCATTAGAGGTTGCCATATTGCCTTCTGCTAGATTTTTCCTAAATAGACAGTTTCTAGCATAATGGCCTCGTTTGCCACCTACAAAACACGAGCTATTAGTTCGTTGAAATCCTTTAAACGGCTGACCTCTTTTGTCGCGACTTTGTTTTGCTCCCCTTGTCATAGAATCCTCTCCACTTTCTTTTAATTCCTTATTTTGTTGACTGTATCGACCTCTTTTTTTATAATTAAATAAAGCTTCTTCATCTTCTTTCTTTATTGAGACCCCTAACATTTATTTGGTTAATGCTTCTGGGTTAGCCAGCAAATTTTCGAGATTGACCAATGAAAGTTGCTCTGGCCAACCTTGTATAGCAGCAATGAATCCTCTAAATTCAGGTCTCAAATCATGTATAATTATTCTTCTCATTCTAGACTCTGAAATCTTGCTTGAAGAATCCAATTCTGAATTTTCGCGACAAAGAAATTTAATTTTATTATAATATTGACTCACCGTTTGTTCTCTTTGAGTGATCGAGAGTAACTCATTTTTCAACAATTGCAACCTCAAGTCATTTTTCTTTGAAAATAGAGTGGTTAGAGTGTCTCATGCTTCATTTGGTGTAGACTTGTCTCTTATATACTCCAACAATTCTTCCTCAATTTGTTATCTTTATGACGAACATGGCCTTACCCACTTTAATTCTCCATTTCTTCAGAGCTCCGGCCTCCTCGGTGGCATCATGTCACTTTCACCAACAACTTCCCACAAATCTTGCCCTTGGAGATACGACTCCATGCAAGTTTGTCATGTGGTGTAGTTCTAATTATTGAGTTTCTTTACTCCGCCTACCATTTGTAGGTCGCCTAGTCTGACTTGATTTACCTCTTCGTAATCAAGCAAGCTTTACAAAAGTTTCACAATCTCCTTTTGTGCACGATCTCTAGAAGCCCAAAAATTCTTCTCCGATTGCCTGGCTCTGATACCAAATTGTTGAGTTTATAGGCCAAACGAAAATGATTTTATTAACAAAAATATTTTCTTTACAAACACACACCTTGCACTTTCTCTCTTGCACACTCACTCTCTTTGCACTCTTTCACTTACACACTCAAATACACTACTAATGCAATGAGCACACACACACACACACATATATATAGACATTGGATTCTTCTACACAAATCTTGACGATTCTAGATAATGGTGATATATGGATTCTTCTAGGTTTCTCTAATTAGTTGCATAAGAAAATATCTAAAAAATTGGTGATGATTCTTCAAATGCTTTTAAATTCTTAACAATAAATGGATGATCCAATAGCATGTTGGCTGTCCATCTGTCTCTATGATACTTTTCGAAGCATCTATTCAAGAAATCTTCTGCAATATTCGAAATATTTTCAGGTATTGGATCAACAATTTCAATCTCCTGAATAATCTCTTCTTTACTTCCAGCAGTTGACCAGATGAGTTTCCCTGTGATCATCTCCATGATGGTGCAACCAAGAGACCATATATCACTAACTGGCTTGTTCTTTCCCTTAACTATCGATTCTGGGGACGAATAGCGCAGTGTGCCTCTGACGTGAATCGATCACTTAGGAGGCAATATTTTATCCTTTCCAATTTTCTTGGCCAGTCCAAAATCTGCAATCTTGAGATTGTGTATACTACTACCATCTTCGCTGGGAAAGATAAGAATAACAACCCAAAATACAGCGTTACTTGAAACCCTTTCTCATGAACGTGAGAGAGACCCTTAAGCAGCATATAACTGAAACACGCAACGAGAGATTTTGGCTTATTATCGGCAGATTTCTTGATCAAATCGGTGAAGGATCCACCAGGTGCGTATTCAAGGAGAAGATTGTAGACCTATCTATTGCTTTCATAGCTTATATCTTCTCCAAAACATTGAACAATTTCTCAGCAGCCTCTCAGTTCAAACAGAATATCTCCTTCAATCTTCAGTGAAGTCGAATGCGAAATAGTGGCGGACTTAACGGCGGCGGAAGCAATAGAAAGACGAGGATTCGTGAACTTTTCCGCCAAATGTACGGTTCCATACGCACCAGCACCAAGAATGTGAGTTTTCTTCCAGAACCCCATTAATTTTCTATTCCTTAACCAGAAATTGAAATGAAATATAGAGCTTGTTTGGTAGATATTAAAATCAGATTAAAATTGAAAAACTAACCGTTATTGTTGACTTTTATTAGACAAATGAGACTCAATAACGACTATATTTTCAATTTTAGTTGGAATAAAATCTCTCCCAAATAAGCTCATGGTGAAATTTTGAAATAGAGTGAAGCAAAAATTTTGGGTTTATGCTGAATTTCTTGTCCCTTTTGTAGTATATATAATTAATGACAAGTTCATTCGTGGTAGAACTAGGAATTTTATTTCTGATTGAAATCATGACAAGTTCATTCATGGTAGAACTAGGAGTTTACCTTTTGAGTGAAATCACGATTGTTTCCTTAATTATGAAAGTACAATT